CTCCCCAAGCTGTCCACTGACCTCCACATGAAAGTCATGGCATATGTGTGCTGCATCAAATGTCATAAAAAGTGTTACATACAAAACTTAATAGTTTATTAGCTATTGAGGTAAGAATGTAAAATATAGAAATATGCATGATATTGCTGTACATACAAGAGCTTCTCCCTTCCCATGAAGCAGGCAGGGTAGTGGTGGCAGTTTGTATAGTGTCCACCAATTGGGCAGTGGAGTCTGAGAACCAAACCCCTTCTATTTCCCGTTATCAGTATCTCCAGCACACCCTCATGTAACATGAAGGGGCCTACTTGTTGGGGTTTATGTCTTTCCCAGTTCCCCATAGCCAGCAAGCCCCAAAAAAAATCACACAGAGATCTCCATAAGTTATAAAACTGATTGGCCCATTAGCTCAGGCTCTTTATTAGCTCTTGTAACTTATATAGCCCATTATTCTAGTATATGTTAGCCACATGGCTCGGTACCTTTCTCAGCTGGGCAGATTACATCTTGCTTCTTCCATGGTCTGGGCAAGACTGCGGAGGGAGCTTCCTGCTTCCCAGAATGCTCCTGTTCTCATTGTGCCACCTCTACTTCCTGTCTGGTTTCCCACCTATACTTCCTGCTTGGCCAATCAGCGTCTATTTAAAACACGATTGACAGAATACAGATAATTCTCCTGCACCACCCTCATGGTCACATGAAAAGTTCAACACTTTCAAAAATCTTGTCGTTTTCCTAGACAAGAATAGTAAAAGATCCTCTCCTAGTGAGTTTATACCTTTTATTTAGGGAGAGATGTTACTAGACTTTTCTGCATCCATATTATTGTTTAGAAACATGTTGTAAGTTCTTCCCAACCCTTAGCTGTTTCAAAGCTGCAAAGGTCTGTGTAGCAGGCTTTTTCCTTTGGAGCACCAACCTGTTACCAAACCACAACATGGAGACTTCTTAGTTTTGAATGCTTGGCCTAACTTAGGTTCATTTCTGGCTAGCTCTTATAACTCAAACTAACCTGTTTCTCTTAATCTACCTTTTGCCTTGGGCCTTCTTGCCTTTATTTCTATAAGTCCTACTCCATGTCTGTCAGCTGGCAGCTGCCTGGCGGGTCCCTTGTTCTCTCCTCTCTCCTTCTCCGTCTTGTTCTTTTTGAGCCTAGATTTCTTTTCCTGCTTATTCTCCCAGTCTGCCAGCCCTGCCTATCCCTTTCCTGCCTAGCTATTGGCTGTTCAGCTTTTTATTAAACCCACTGGGTGCCTTAGGCAGGCAAGGTGAAACAGAAATTTCTGTAAACACATCTTTACATAAGAAATTATGTAAACACATCTTTACATAATTAAACAAATGCGGCACAAATAAAAGTCACACACCTTTACACAGTTAAAGTAACATTCCACAGCATACACAAATGTAGCACATCTTTGCCTAGTTAAAATAATATTCCACAACAGGCCTGGATACAATAAATATTATTTTTCTTGCCTTGCTACATAAGAGATGCAAGAAAAAAATAGGTTAGACATTTTTTTAAACAAATGCAGATATGCACAGCCAAACATTAGGTGGAGCTCAGGGAATCCTTTGGAAGAGAAGAGGAGAAGGATTGCAAGACCCAGAGGGTCAAAGACATCACAAGAAAACACCCACAGAACTAACAAACCTGGACTCCTAGGGACTCAGAGAGATGGAGCTGACAACCAGGGAGCCTGCATGGGTTTGAGCTAGTCCCTCTGCATATATCCTATGGTTGTGTAGCTTGGTCTTCTGGGATTCCTAACAGTGGGAGCAGGGGCTGTCTCTGACTCTTTTGTCAACTGTGGGGCCCTTTTTCTCATACTGGGCTGTCTTGTCCAACCTTAATATGAGGGGAGGTGCCTAGTCTTATTGTAACTTGTTATGCTGTAGTTGGCTGATATCCACGCAAGGCCTGCCCTTTTCTGAAGAAACAGAGTAGAAGTGGATGGGGTGAGGGAGAGGGCAGTGGGGAGGTAGGGGGAGAGACTGGGAGGAGAGGAGGGAAGGTAAACTGTGGTCAGGTTGTAAAAAAAATAATATTTAAGACATGAAAAAAAATATTTTTTGACTGCTTAGAAGTCTCCTGAAATAAGGTGCTCAATTTGGAGTTTCTGTTTTCACAAGAAACAGGTGACAGAACAAGTGTTGAAAGGAAGAAACATTTAGCCTGAAGAGAAAGGATTTGCAGGAAGGGACGTGGGCTTGAAACCTTGAGGGGTTGCCGTGAGAAGGCAGTCTCTCAAGTGTTCAAAGTGCAGAGTGGAAACCAGGCAGCGAACCTACTGGGGAATGCTTCATATTCCGTCTAAAACAAGCACATTTACCTCAGGAAAAATACACGTCAGCGAGAGAAAAACAGCTTACTGTGGCCACATGGAGGATAAGATCACTATCAGAGTCTCAGTGCTGCACCTGACCTCTTCGCTTTCTTTACTTCTCCTTTGTGTTCTCTTTACATGTGTGTGTGCACACACATACACACACATGCATGCATGCATGCATGCATACACATGCACACACCCGCACACATGCATACACACATGCACATGCATGCATGTATACATATGCACGTGTGCACACATGCACACACACGCATGCACACACAAACAAGAGTGTCTGACGTCTACTTCTTTTGCACATTTATAGCACTATTCTCTCTCCACACACCAACTTTCTAAACTTATCTCCCATCCTTTTGCTCATGGCCCAACTTAAATATTCTAGAAAAATGAATTCCCATAATTCAACAACTCAAGCCCTCATCCCAAGTTCAAATTACTGAAAGGAAGATATCCCATCGGATGACTTTTGTCTTCCCCTGGTTTTATCAGATGTGCGCAGAAAAAAATAAGAATACAGCATAGAGCTGTCCTGATTTACACTGTGAAGAAGAAAGACTTTTTCAAAGTAAGGCTTGCTGGAAGAGGCCACAGCTGCGGTATATTCATAAAACGTTCCCAAGGTCTGTTGTCTACCATCCATTCATCTTACTCTCTACTGTCAAATGTATTTCTCTGAAAGACAGGCCTACTTATGTCCTGCAGTGAACTATTCTCAATATCGAAGATCAGATTTGCCAAACATTTCCTGACCCTCCATGTCCTCTACAATAAAGTCTTAGTGCATTTCCATAGTTTTATGTTTTATCGTTTCCCTTCCCTGACTTGAGTCAAGTCCCTACCCTTTCCTCTACTTTGTATGGCTGTGGTTTGCCGAGATCAATCCCAGCTTTGTCTATTGGGTTGGTATAACGGTGGGAAGTACTTCCTTGATTCTCTTCTGTGTCCTGGTTTAGATGACAGAGGAGCCATAGTCCTTAGTCTAAAGGTCCCTTCTGCTATCAAACTTACCTTCTTCAAACTATTAATATCTAGGAATATGCCAACATATTTTTGCATAAAATCTCCACTGACCTAATAAAATGATATTTTCTTCCTCCTAACTCATACAGCATTTTGCCTCTCACCTATATTATTTCTGATACCTTTCACAACTTATTATACATGAAACTCTGACCACCCTTGCTTTCACTCAGACAGCACAGGTTAATAATGAGAGGGTGTTTTGCTATGGACAGAGGTGAAGCTAAGTTGCATTCACAGAGTCTGAGTGGACACCATGCTGTTGACTCTCGCCTTGAAATTACTAAGAAACAAATTTGTGTTGATGAGTGAAACCCTTTACAGTCTAACACGAACATGAACTCAATGGCTACCATGTGAAATGGGAATGAAATCCTTCCTTCCTGTTCATTCATTAGCCTATCCCTGTTAATGTTGGAGAATGGTAGACCCGACGGTCGGCGTAGCACAGCTGGCACAAATGGTGGTTGGGGGCTTTGAGCCCTGGTTTTCGTTCAGCCACCCTAGACTTTCTCATCTTTACTGGCAGTCACGGCTCTGCTACCCAAGCAAAAGTGCTACACAGCTATAGAATAGGGACCATTAAGACCAAGAGGCTCAGCACTGAACCCCAACTTTGCTGCCACTAGTTTTGTGTCCAGGGCAATTCTTCACTCCTTGCAAGTTCACTTCCTCACACCCAAAACTGCTGCACGACAGTGCAAATCCCACAGGGTTCTTCTGAGAACTGGGAGAAACGTGGATGTGGGAGGCTTTGCATGTTCTATGTCTGTGCCCAGATTTTATCACCATATGGCTTTAATTCAATGACCTATGTAACCCTGGTGACCAATGGAATAAAGCCACACATGCACAGAGCAGTCCTTCAGAGCTGGAGAAAAAGCTCTGGTCTCACAGCCGTAAGTCCTATTGCTTTTTTTAAAAGATAGAAATTAATAGTAAAAAGTAGAAAATGCATAAAACCATTTTGAACATGGTAATTTCCTTTTTATAATATTCAAATCACTGTTTTATTTGATTTCAAAATAGGACACTGTTTGAGTGTATTGTTTCCTAAAAACACAATGAAATTATTGAGGTATTTATATTTTACCTTTCCCAAGTGCCTTTGCTGGTTAGCTATATGGACCCAGCAATTTTCATTATTATTATTTTGTCGATAAAGACCAATGGTTTAAGTGCTATCAGATGGATTCCTATCGAACCCTGACTGGTCAAGGTGACCTCCACCTTTGAGAAGTTCCTGCCTTCATCAGCGTGACTTTCTAATTCTTAATGGACCCTTTCAAATGTCTGTCACCAACTAATCCCCATGACCTATGTACCTGGCTCTAATAATCCCGGCAGGATTGCGCACCAAGTCTGAACTGACTGGTGGTGTCTGGACCTGACTGCTCTGTCATGCAAGGCTGGACGTCGGGAACTACTTTCTCATGAACTGGAAGACAAAGAACTGAAAGTTTAGGCCAACACAAGAGCCTCTGGAAAGTGACCAACCAAATCCCCAGCGTTTTAACTGTATCATCAATCAAAAGTGGCTGGGCAGGAAGAGAAAGTTCAGGTACAAAGTCAAAGAGATTCTATTTGCGGAGCTAAAAGTGACAAAGGTCAAAACAGCAGCTACAGAGTCTATGTGCCTCACCGAGGACACAGCCGGATCAGACCATCTGAACTCTCCGCTGAGTGCACAGTCTGTGTGGTAGACTCCAGTCATGCTGTCTTCTTCCTGTGGGATTGCTACATCCATTGCTTTAGGTTGACCCTCTACAAACACAAGTAAAGTTTGACTTGAATGTTATAGTCCATGCAAAATCAAGAGTGCCTTGCACACATTAGAGGTCAGTGGCTACCCGCTCATCATTAGAACTGTTCAGTCTACATAAGGTAAGCACTGCATCTCGGGAGATGTTTAAGCAATGTCTCATTAATGAGTGTGTGTGCGGCAAATTAGAAAAGGTTTAATAAAGTATGTTAGTAAACCACAGGGGAAAAAAATGAACTTGGAGACATCCAGAATTGCTTCCAAATCTGAGAATTACAGATTCTACATTCTAAAGGCTGAAGTGCACATAGCATTTGTGATATGAAAACTATACTTTTAGGGAGAGTTAATTTAGTTTATTAAGATTCTTGAAAATGGAATTCAAGTAATCCTTGGCTTGATGGAGAGCATTTTCTTAATTTTCTATGGATTTTAAAAATTATATAATTGCAAATGTTCATTAGGATGTAATTAAATAGCCCTGTTTCCCTAGTTACTAATACGTGCCAGGGTACTGTAATTATACAAGTAATTATGAAAGGAAAATATATGACTTGGCAAGCCTGCGAAAATTATTCTAGATACAGGGAAGGCTCCACTTTGGGGAAAAGACAATTAAAATGCTGCAGAGAAAAAAAAGAAGACATTGAGAATAACATAATAGGATGGGACTATTATATAATGACATGGGGTACATGAAAATGACTACTCTCGTTTCCATGGAAATAAGAAAAGAATATAATAAAATCTGCTCACCATCCACAGTGGTCCAAGTGCTTGAGGATGTTTTATGTACTTTGCTTATTTATTGTACCTCTGATTTTGGCTAGTGCATGGCTCTGCCTCAAGTTTACTTCGTGGAGATTAATGCAATTTATACGTTATATTTTATTTTATGATATACTTAACAATAAGTGGTGCATAATTAAGGCTGTGTGAGATCGAGGGAAAATGCCCAGAAACTAAATACCTTTTTAAAAAATGTGTTCTTTGCATTTAATAGCATTTGAACTATTTAAACAGCTTAAATTAAATTAAAGTTAATAGAGTTTAATTAAAGTTATAGTCAAAGGAGAAATATTCCCTCTCATAAAAAAAGGAGAGTGTTGTGCTGGGGTCATGAGCATGTTTTCTTATTCACGATGAAGAACTTGCCTTTGGTTGAACAGCACTGTGTGAAAACCAAAGAATCTTTTATTTTCTCATGTAAAATTCCCTGTTCAAGGAAAATCTCAAAGCTAGTCTGACCTGTCCAGCCAAAATTCCATTGTTTTTCACATCGAAATGTGGTAAATCAAAGTTCTCATATCAGCAATAAATGGTTGATACAAAATTCATATGGGGAGGAACCTGGCTAGCTGATCTCTCTCACATGAGGACAAAGACTCTGCTTCCTAGGACATGCGAGGACTCGTTCTGGACTTTTGTTTGTTTTTCCTGCAAGCCCTGCTATGGTAGAGTCAGATCCTCAGTGGCAGAAAGCCAGTTTCTACCTGAAAGGCAGAGGAAACCGCAGGAAGCCTTGAGGAGGTTTGAGACAGCAAGATGAGACTGGCTGAGAGTGAGCAGCCTTGCTAGCTGATTGGTTCAAGTTCGCTACTACCATGCTGGTCCTGACCTCCTGAGTTTAAATGATCCCCCCACCTCACCCTCTGGAATCGCTGAGACGCGCTGGTATCTATCCTCGCTAGACTCTCACTTGACTGGCTATACTGCTATGGCTTTTGTCTAGGTACATGGATTAATATATTGGGCCAAATATCCACTATATTTCCTTAATAAATCAAATTCTAAGGGTTGATTGGAGAGACTGCTCAGTAGTGAAGAGCAATGATGACTCTCAAAGAGGATCTAGTTCAGTGACCAGCCCCCACATAGCAACTCACAATTGCCTATAACTATAGTAACAGGGTATCTAATGCCTCTCTGACCTCCTGGGGTTTGGGCACACACATTGTGTAAATGCATATACTTAGGGGCACACGTACACACACACACACACACACACACACACTCACACACACACACAGAGAGAGAGAGAGAGAGAGAGAGAGAGAGAGAGAGAGAAATGTTTAAAAATAAATAAATAAAAATTCTAATACTCTTTGAAGAAAAAAATACCAAATCTCTAGAGCAACATGTTGAATTAATTTCTCTTTTTTTCTTTCCTTTTTTATTTGTAGAATTAAATTCTAATAAAAGTACATTGAATGTTCATCTTCATCCTTATTGGTAAATTCAGAATTTTGTTTTTACTTTTCCTTACATTATTATATTTAAATTCTTAAAATTGTACTTTATTTTATGTATAGCAAAAATGCATGTTAAATAGCATTATAACTGAATTTTTAAAATATATTTAAATATAAGAGAAAGTAAAAAGGTATCTATTTACATAATCCATCCCCTTAAAACAACTTCAAAAAAATTGCTTTTTCTAAGAGGCTCAATACAGCAAACACATTCAGTGACAACTTGTGTAACTGATGCAATAATGTTCAAAAGGATGAAAAAGCAAATGCAAATGATTATGAAATTAAAGTGAGAAGGATGATGATGATGAGGAGGAGGAGGAGGAGGAGAAGAAGAAGAAGAAGAAGAAGAAGAAGAAGAAGAAGAAGAAGAAGAAGAAGAAGAAGACAACTCTTTAAATAATAAAAGCTAAAATAAGTAAAATTAAATGTCAATTGTTCATGTACCCATACACAGTCAGACTGAGAGAACACAAACTCCCTAAGGACTTTCCAACTACAGACTAAACTCATCTCTCTCTCTCTCTTGGGTTGGAGGAAATGAAGCTGTCATGCTGCTGCTGAATGATACTGACCTTTCTATGGGGATGGGGAGAGGAAGACAGGAACTCTAGCCCTCAAACCATGGAGGCAGAACTCTGCTTCTGCTATGGGCTTGTTCATGGATGTGTCTCAGTTTTCCTTTTTAATCATTAGTGCAGCAAATCATGCTCATAAAGCAGCACAATGCAAGGGCTAAATAATGAAAGAAAGAATTAATTAATGGAAGAGTATACATTTCAGATAACTGCAGTCAATGCTTGACCAAAATCCCAATTAAAACCAAATGCTTCTTTGGGTTATCTAGTACTTGAAGGCTGCAGAACAATTCTCTTGTTTTTCTTTTTTTTCTTTTTTTAAACAATAAAACAAGACAAAGCAAAAAAAAATGATCAATTTCTTTTCAATCATTTACTTAAATGTCTATTCTTAGAACTAAATTTGAAAGCAGATCTTTAAGGAAATATTTTCAATTTCTTTAAAATATATGTATTTTTAAATGTGACTTTATGATGATCGTGTTCTTTTGGTTTTTTGAGACGGAGTATCTCTGTTGCTTTGGAGCCTGTCGGTCATGGAACTCTCTATAGACCAGGCTGGTCTCGAACTCACAGATATCCACTTGCCTCGGCCTCCTGAGTGCTTGGATGATGACCATGTTCTTGATATATTTCTTCAATTGCCAGACTCTTCTATAAAACACACAGTGATTAAGGAATCTTAATTATCTATGTCAAAACCAGCAATGAGGTTGTGTATTAAAACCCATGAAGAAATGCAAGGCTGGTCATGCTTCTGACTGACTGGGAAAATTTGACAAACTATATAGCCTGTCCAGGCCTTCATTTACTTCATCTCTGAAAGAGTTGCTCTCCTGAAGGCTATCACAAGAACCACACAAAATGAGTGTATGCTATAAAATATAGTATCAGCAAGAGAGGTTTCTTCAGTAGTTATGTAAACTACATCATGCAGGTCAGACCAGTTAGAGATTAGATAATATCTAGGGAAAGCAATGTGTTTAAAAAAATATGAAACTTGGTGTCAAGAAACAAATACTCATGTCTCGATAGTTCTATTGTATGCCCCAGACCCGAGTTCTTCATTCAGCATGTTTCCCTATGTACAGACAAGTTGACTTGTAATCTAATAAGATGTACATAAGAGCATTTGGTAAAATGGTTAGCCTACATGATATCACCTATAATTCTTATTAGCTGTTGAGTTTATACTACAGCCATGCCAGAAACCGTGGAAACACACTCACAGTTTTCAAAATCCAGATGTAGAGTTCAAAAACTGAGACATGTAGTTACAGCATTAGACATCCAAACTTTTCTTTAAATTTTATATTTTTTTCATTCAATATACTTTGGTTATATTTCCCCTTCCCCAGCTCCTCCTAGATTCTCTTTCTCACTTCCCTACCCACTCAAATTTATGCTATCATATGTCTCTCTCTCTCTCTCTCTCTCTCTCTCTCTCTCTCTCACCCCTCTCTCTTTCTCTTTCTCTCTCCTCTCTTTTCTCTACAACAAAAACAAAAAAGCCTCAAAAAAAAAGAAACAAATAAACAAACTACCAATAAGAAAAAACTGCTAAGACATGATAAATTAAATAAAACTTTCACAAAAATGACAGTGAGTTTGTTTTGTGTTGGCCAGCTATTCCTAGGCATGAGACCTGTGCTGGAGCGTGGTTCGCGGTGAAACTCCCTTGGCCACAGGGTGTCAGTTGTAGATCGCTTCCTGACTAGCGATAGAATTCTGTGTCCTTTTCTTCCTCTCAGTGCTGAGACCCTGTCTGGATTGAATTTGGGCAGGTTTTGGTTTGCTGCCAGTCTCTGTACGTTTATATGTCTATCAGTCCATTGTGTCTGACAGACACTGATACTTGGAGTTATCCACCACCTCTGACTCTTAAAACTTTTGGCTGTCTCTTTTACATAGATCCCCGAGCCATGAGGGTGGAACTTTGATGAAGACATCTATTTAGGACTGAGGGCTCTAAAGTCTCTCGCTCTCTACATAATGGCCAGTGGTGAGTCTCTGCATTGGTTTCCATCTTCTGCAAGCTTCTCTGGTGTGGGCTGAGTGAGGCACCAATCTATGGGAACAGCAGTATGTCACTGGGGGCCATTTTACTGCCATATTCCTTTAGTAGAATAATAGTATTAGTAATAGTATTAGTGTTTCTCCTAAGCCTGAGACCTATACAGTCTCAGTTTCGTGACCATTTTACAGTAGTTTCATCTCACAGAATAGGCCTTAAACCCAATTTTAAAAAGTAGTTTGTTACTCCAATAACATTTGTGCCATTATTGCACCAGTATATCTCGAATGCAGGTTTCTCTTACAGATGATGGGGTTTGTAACTGGCTGATATTGATGATGGCTTTTTTTTCCTCTGGAAGAATGAAGAGTACTTCCCATCACCATGAACACTGGTCAGTAGGGGAGAAGGAAACTTCAGTCTGAGGAGACTGACTATACCTAAGAGGATATAAATAATAAATAATCCAAGAGCAGTAAACCAAACACCCCCACAACAAAACAACAGGGATTAATAAATACTGCTCATTAACAATTTTCAACATAATGGTCTCAATTCCCCAATAAAAGACAGATTGGATTAGAAAATACAATTCATCTTGCTGCAACCAATAAACATATCTTGCCACCAAGGATAGACACCACCATAGAGGAAAAACACAGAAAACAGTATTCCAGACAAACAGACTCAAGAAGCAAGCAGATGTAACTCTTCCAATACCTAAAAAATAGACATTAAACTAAAACATATATGGAAAAATACTTACTACCTATTAAAAGAAAATTCTACCAAGAGGATTTAGCAATTCTAAACATTTATGTACCAAGCACAAGGGCACCCACGTTTTAAAAGAAACAGCAACAGCTAAACTCACAAATTGAACTCACACAGTGGCAGTGAGTAACTTCAGTACCCCATTCTCACCAATAGACGTGTTATCCAAACAAGAGCTAAAATGCTGGAAATAACATCACTAATAAAACAGACCTAGTACTCATCTACAGAACATTCCACACAAGCATTACAGAATATACCTTCTTCTCAGCACCTCATGGAACTTTCTCTAAAACTGACCACATACTTAGATTCAAAGCAAATCTCAACATTTGACATAAGAAAATTGAAATAACCCCTGGAATCTTATCTGACCATCATGAACTAAAGCTGGATATCAAGAACAGAAAGCTTACAAACTCCTGGAAACTGGACAACTTACTGGGTTGAAAAAATGAGTCCAGACAGAAATCAAGAAGAAATTTAAAACTTTTAGAATTGAAGGAATATGAAAATACAACAAGTCCAAACCTATGAAACAGAATGAAGGCAGTTCTGAAAGGTAAGATCACACCATACATTAAAAGGCTAGAGATCTCATGTTAGTGATGTAGTGCCACACTTCAATGTTCCAGAAAAATAAGAATAAAAATACCCAGAAAAAAGTAAACAAGAAGAAATAATCAACTCAAGGCTGAAGTCAATGAAATGGAAGCAAATAAAAACAATCAATGAAATGAAGAGTTGATCTTTTGTGAAAATCAACAGAATTTACGAATCCTTAACCAAATTAGCCAAAAATGGAGAGAAAATGTCCAAAGTAATAGAATTAGAGACGAAAAGGGGGACATCACAACAGACATGGAGGAATTCCAGAGAATCATAAGAACATACTTCTCAAAACTATATTCCTCCAAACTGAAAAACCTAAAAAGTGGATGAATTTCATGATACACAATCTACCAAAAGTAAATCAATATGAAATTAACAATTTAAATACACTTAAAACCCCTAGTGAAACAGAAGTAATAATTAAAAATCTATAAAAACAAAAAAATTCCAGGATCAGATAAATACAATACAAAATTTCACAAAACTGTCAAAGAATTAAAATGTAGATGGAAGTTTCTGTCCCACCCGGTCCCACAGCCATTCAGTCCCCAAAAAACATATGGAGGCTTATATTAATTATAAACTGTTTGGCTGATTATCTCAGGCATATTATTAACTAGTTCTTACAACTTAAATTAACCCATAATTCTTGTCTATGTTTAGCCATGTGGTTTGGTACCTTTTCTCAGTAAGTCATTCTCATCTTGCTTCCTCTGAGTCTGGTTGATGACTGACTCTCTGCCTTTCCTCTTCCCAGAATTTTTTTAGTCTTGTAACCCCACCTATACTTCCTGCCTGGCTACTGTTTTGTGTTTCATTAAACTAATATGAGTGACAAATCTTTACAGTGTACATGAGTTTTATCCCAGAGCATTAGAATCAATACTTCTCAAATTATTCTGCAAAATAGAAACTAAAGGATCATTTCTTAAATCTTTTATGAAGCCACTATTACCCTGATATCTAAATATCAACAAAAATAAAATTATATCCCAATATCTCTTATGAACACAGATGTAAAAATTCTTAATAAATACTTATAAACCAAATACAAGAATACATAAAAAATATTATTCACCACGATCAAGTAGGCTACATCTTAAAGTTGCAATCATGGCTCAAAAGTACATCCAAACTTTTAAAAGATACTGTGTGCAGGACAAGGTGAGCATGAAGGAAAAGAAATTATGGTGACCTAATCATGAATTTATTTGAAAAAGTTTTGAGAAAGAGGTAAATTTTCCCAATTCTATTTGATAAGATGGCACCTTAATAAATGCTTAAGTTCAAACATATGCCACAGTTGGGACACAGAACTATGAGGCTAGTCAGATGCCTCAGGGAGCAAAGGTGCCTGTCACCAAGACTGATGACCTGAATTCAATCCTCGAACTCCAACCCTCTCAGAAGGTGCCTTCTGACCTCCACACGTTACTATACACCCAAGGCGCGCTCTCTCTCTCTTTCTCTCTCTCTCTCTCTCTTCTCTCTCTCTCTCTCTCTCTCTCTCTCTCTCTCTCTCTCTCACACACACACACACACACACACACACACACACACTAAATAAATAAATACAATGCAAGAAATTTTATTTAACTTAAGCATCTTTTATGAAAGTTGTGTATAAGATATCCATACTCCGGCATCTTCTCAATCATTTCTTCCTTGTGTTTGCCCTTCTCCTTTCTTACTACCAAGACCTGGCTTTCCTTTCCAGGATCTCTTTGCTGTCTTTGTCCAGCTTTAGCCTGGTGATAACCACCTGGACACTTTTGCCATTAGCCTTTTCTCGCTGCAGCCATTCAGTACAGATGATGTATTTCTTCCTGTAGACTTGGACCACTTTGCCAATCTACTTACATTTGTAATGTCCTCAGACAACCTGAACCTCATCATTCTTTCAAGTAGACATAGAACATTGTACTTCTGCCTCAACTCTTTGGAAAGTGAGGAAGACATACTCTTCCTCCGAATACGAGAAGGTGCACTGATACGCTATTTGTGGTTCTTGCTTCGGTTCGAAATCACAAAGGAACTGAACTTCATTTTGGTGGCTGCAATCCAGCCACAATACTTTTTAAAGTTGGGTAGCATTGCAATAAAACCATTATGATGCGAAGTGCCAAGTTTAAGAAGCAATACCCTAAAGCTCTCAGTAGATATGCATGAGGAATTAATGAGGGAAATTATGGAGACAATACTATGTGTGAGGAATCCAAACTGTTCTGCTCTTCCATTCCACCAGCATTCTGGACAGGACTTTGTCCAAGGGAGGGCCCGTGTCCATCATGAATCCAGACTTTTCAACAAAAGCATGGTTCTGGGATGCAACAGCACATGGGTTTGATCTAAAACTTCAGAATTCCACTTAATTTGAAAGCTCCCTTGTTTTCCCAACTATTTTCAAATCTTTCCTTGAAAAAGCCAGGACAGAGAAGAGTCACTCATTGCCACGAAGGTCATTTGGTGGTGCTCAGATCTTGGTTCCAGGGTCTGCCTTCCTGGTTCCTGGTTCTAGTTCTACAGTCAGAGGTGAGTCTCTGAGCAAGCTTCCTGAGTTCTCTGACTGTTAGCTAAAGGGGAATCATAGTTTTGGAAGAACAAATTAAAAAGATTACAAGCTTGCAGTATGGTGAATTTTAAACACTGGCTACTATTTTGCTTAAGGTTTTCACTTTGTGAAAGTTATTAAAGAAGATCAGAAACGAGAACCACAATAACTATACAAAGAACAGCTTGCATTTTTAAAGCCTTTGTTCATATATTTCTTTATCCTTTTGCTATCCATAGAAAGAGTTGTTACTAGCAGCAATTTTTGGAGAGCAGAAACCAAAGTACAGGGAGATAGTATAACCCACACAGACATAATACAGTGGGTGCTCCCAGCATCCAGTGGGAGTCTTTTGACTCCAAGGGCATTTAACACTAGCCTGGTCAGGAACCCTGAGGTAGGTCGTGGTCAGTCTTTGTCATGTATAAATGTCATGTATGTATAAATTGTCATGTATTAAATCTCACACCAATTTAATGGTAAACTCAGTAAAAGAGTTGTCGCTTCAAAAAGTTAAAGAATAAGCATGTAAAAATTGATCATCTATCACGGAGTGAAGGCAAGCTTGAACCCAGTCTGTTCCATATCTTATGATTAAGTTCAGCCACACATAAGTAAGTTAGATAGGACCAGAATAGTTTCAAATAACTAAGAATCTCATAAATAATCTCCAGCCTGCCTATATCTAGGATAAGGATAATGGAGGACATGGAATGATAACATTAGTGTACCTTCACATGTGAGCTGCTGTGCCAGGTACTTTTAATCTCCTATCCCCACACCAGTCTCAGAAGCTATGCTTGTGCCCCCTCTTTGAAGGAAAGCAAAGGTGACGGCAGAGCTAAGACTTGAAGCTCTGATCCTTTTGACCACTTTCAGCACTGGAAGTTTTTAAGCTGAAGGAAATGTGTACATCTTCACCAGCTTCCATTCCTGCCCACCAGCAAAATCCACGTTGTAGGAGCCCATGATCTCTCTCTGTCACCTTAAAGAACTAACACAATCTCTGCCCCCAGAGAACTCGGACCATGCTTAAAAACAGCTAACCAGAAAGCAGCCCAAGTGGACATGTTAAGGCGATATTTTACCCTATGCAGAAGAGGCCTTTTCCTCCTTATAGGTTCAAATGAAGCTGAAGACAGAGAGGCAAGTGGTCCAAGCAGGAAAGAGTCATTTGGATGCTAGAAAAGACCACAGTGTATGTGTGTGTGTGTGGGGGGGGCATTGAGTGGTCTGTGAATAAGAGACGTGATGAAAGTAGAGAGGAGACAAGTTGGGAGTAAGAAAGTTTAAACAGAATAGGAGCAGGAGGACAGGATAAAGGTAGGTGTGGGTAGGTTATCTGAAACTAAGGAGTATGAAGAAGTCATGTGGAAATTTTCTTTATAAGTTAAATAAAAATATAATTAAAAACCAAAGTTTGTTTAGCCGTACCCTGCATAGCAGATAATGTCAAATCCAGAAGCCATGGACTATTAAATAAAAATGTCATTCACTGAACTCCTCTCTGTGAATTGTTGGTGACATGTGTGGAACACCTCTCTGTGAGCTGTTGGCCACGCGTGTGGAACACCTCTCCATGAGCTGTTGGTCACGTGTGTGGAACACCTCTCTGTGTACTGTTGGTCACGTGTGTGGAAGACCTCTCTATGAGCTGTGGCTCTAAAACAAGACAAGGCATTGCCATTGTTCTTGGTTGACTCCCAGAACTAGATGGTAGGACGCCCTTACTGGAGATATTCCACACTTTGTACACAGGATGCGGGGCTGGGAGTTTCTTCCCCACTGGCTAGCTTTGATAGTATTGGCCATTTCTAGACAGCCAGAACGTGAGGGAGAAAGTCATCAGTAGCCTCATCTAGCTGCCAGCCTTGCTAGCTCCCATACCAACCTATAGAACAAGATGTGTGGGTACAATAGTGCCGTGATTGCTGTATGGTGTCTTAGTTTTGTTCCCAGTATTGTGATAAAATGCAGCAACTTAAGGAGGAAAAAGATTCCTTTGGTTCTCAATTCCAGGTGACAGTCAACCACTGTGGGAGGCTGAGGAGGCAAGAACTTGAAGCAGCTCATCATAGTACATAAGGCCAATACAGAGAGCAATGATGCCCATGCACCCCTATCAGCTAGCTCTCTCTTTTTCTTCATTCTAGGTCCCAGACCATAAAACAGTGCCACCTATATTCAGGGGAGGTCCTTCCCACCTCAGTTAACCTAGTCTAGACTATTCCTTATTGATACTCCCTTTTTAGGACAATCTATAGTATGTAAAGTTGATGAAAACCAACCATCCCATGAGAATTTCTGATAGCATTGTGACTGGGCATGATGCTTGCTTCTCAGGAGGTAATTCCTGCCTGCTTCAGTGGACCTGGTTAAAAGTCAGTACCTGGGAAGATCATAGGTTCTAGGATTGAGCCTTTTGCTTCTGTTTTACTGAATAGATATGCTGTCAAACTGCCTCCTAATTAGCTATGTTTATTCCCATAAATGAATGCTCATCTCAATCTTGGTCTAAGAAGCTTCCTTTTGCAGTAAATGCCAGTTAATGGAGACTGGAGGCTGGGCAATATATTGAGATTAAGTGACTACTGATTTCTCAGTTCCAAAGGGAACGCCCGATCATCCCTTCCAAATCACAGAAAGCTTTACAGAAGAGGAAGCCAAAAACAATGTAAGAGGCAGACACGGGCAGAGAGGTCTTGATGATGTCTTCTGGTACAATATAGCTGCCACACTCATGAACTCAAAGCAGCCTGTGGTTGCCTACACAGGGCCCACACAAGATTGGACCTGTCGGCATTCAGTCACCTGTAGGGAAAAAGATCACGGGGATGCCAGCCTCTTCTCAGAGGAGCTATTGGCAGGGTGGGTGAGTCATTGTCCTTGGTGATGTAGCCATTGTGGAGCCCCCATGTTCCAAGGGATAGCGCCACACCCATGCTCATGAAGATAAACAGCCCTGGCTTACAAACAGAAAGACCCAACCCTAAAAGTACTTGTGTATGTGTGTGTGTGTGTGTGTGTGTGTGTGTGTGTAGGGGAGGTGATAGGGTGGTAGTACCAGGAAAGGGATAAGGAGAGGTGTCTGACCAGAATGTATTTTATATATGTGTGCAACTATGAAATAAAAAATTAGTAATAATGAAAACGAATTATCTGGGGGAGTTCTTTTTAAAATGTAAATTCCTAGGCCAGGACCAGAATGTCACGAGCCACCAGGCCACTTTGATTTCTTTGCTTTTAGAAAACAGTCCCTGATTCTGGTGCACACATTGAAAGCACTCACCCCGAGGAATAGAAAATCTGTGACGATGTCTCAAAGAGGAGTTAAAAAACGAAACTGGGTGTGGACCAGAGGAGACCCCGGGAAGCATTCTGGGAAGCAGACAGAACTGTGTCCATTTTGGTGCTGTAAGTAGGCATGCTGAGGAGAAGAAGGTGAGGATGCGGAAGAGAGCGCCGTGCAAAGCACTCTTCCGCATGAGCGGAGGGTGTGGGGTGAGAGGCACCCAGCAGAGATGAAAGGATGCATTTTAGAGATATTCCAGAAAGGAAGCCAGAAGGATGGGGTGATCAGTCACCAGGAGGGAACAAAGGAGGCAAATGGTGTCCACATGACGCAGCGAGGTGGTGGGTCTAGCAGTGCACACAGCCACCCACGCGAACTAGAGCTGCTGAGTGCTATTTTAGCAGGCCACTGTTACAAAGCTAAAGGTTCTTTATGCAACACAGGGCCCTAAAATACCTTTGTTGTTCTTTCTGCCCCTGCCCGTGCACGTGTGAAAGGGAAAGCCAAACCTCACATTCCTCGTGACGCCCTCAAAAGAACCCTTGTAAGGGGTGCATATGAGAAAATATTTTTAACTGATATTTAATCTCACCCAGAATGGGAGGCCCTCAATTTGACTAAGGAAAAAAAAAGTCACCAATTTAATGCTGCTTCAGCAGTGCTCCGAGCCTCCTTGTGCCTGCCCAAAGTCAGAGCAGTGAGAGACTAATGTCAGGTGTTAAAAAACTAGTTTCTGCAAATCTCAAAATGCTAAACTAAAGCTTAAAAAAATTGCCTAGTTTGCACTGAGAAGAAAAATGAGTCACTGGAAGTGGATATAAAGCAGCCCTTACATCAAATTGATCATCTTATTCTCTAAAGAAAGAAAAAAATCAGTAAAATAACAATACAATTCAAAAATTTTCAGTTAAACCAGTTACACTTCAATTAACCATGAGAATTTCCCAGTCTTTTTCTCAACTAAAGGATTCAGATCTTGGAAACTTTCTCCCTAGGCCCTGGGAAGCAGCAGCAACAGAACATTAAATTCCATACAGTAGTTATTTAAAGTGTAAGAAAAATGAACACCCAAGACTCAAAGGCAAAGCAACTAGGTGGGAATATATGTGTATTTTCCTAATTAGTTCCTGCTATAGCTAAGATTCTAGGGACATTGAGGAACTTGGCTTAAAAGAAAAGAGAAAAAAAAAAAGAAAAAAAGTTTAACTCACCTGAAACCCCACCTCACTAGAGCCAGAGGAATGAATTGGAGTGAGAAAGGGGGTTGACTCAATTTAGTGAGAAGTTAGAACAAGGCACAAGTGTAGGCAGATGTGAAAACCATGGGCTGGATATGCAGGAGGTCCACTGAGCATCTCAGGGAAGTGGTGTGGGATGAGAATAAGAATAGATTAACGCCAGCAAGAGACAGAACCTGCTGTGTATATCTCTAGGAATACCTCTGGTGTCAGCTAATATATAAAAAGCATGTATTTTTTGTCTAGTCTCTTATTTACCAGAGATGCTGGGAAGTAGAAGTAGTGTTCGTTAAACGTCAGTCTCAAGGAAGAATGTGCTTCCCTGTTACAGATACCACTTAGCGGAGAACAAAATATACGAAGATTCTCAAATTGTGAGGCAAATTTAATTTTTCTCATCTTTGTCTAGGTGTGTGATTATCCACAAGAAGAATTCAGGCAAGCTATTACTGAAGAAGGCCTGGGAAAGGTTGGAGAAAACTCAGACCTCCTGGCTTTGGACAATGTAATACAGTGCAGGAAATGAAATTCTCTGAGAAATTTAATCCCTGGGAAGATAAATCACTATCTGATTGGAACCCTTATTTGGTTTACCACATCCAACAGTCCATTTGGTTGGGCAATAAAGCCAAGACCACCATCAATTAAAATCATAGTCTAGGAAATGTTTTAAGATTCGTCTGAATCCCAGAGCTGATCAGAGGAAAGGACAGCTGATAATTGATTCAGCAAAGATCTACCCAAGGAACACCCATTGGTGGTTTCAAATTCAGTGAAGATGTTAGAGAAAAACAACCCATTCAGAAAAAAACAGCATGTCCAAAGATCAAGAAAGAAAATGTTAGCCAGCCAAAGAGCGTCAACTTTCCAGAGGAAAGAGAATACAGGTAAAGAAGAGAAAACAGAGATGAAGGGCAGAGAAGAGCTGAAGAAACAGAAACATAAGCGGTAGGAACAAGAAATGATAGGACCGTGGCTTAGACAGGCATGCCTAGGACTCCCAAACCTCTCAGGCTCTACAGTAGAAAACACACCCCTCTGTGTCTTCCATAAACCATTATGGATTTCCACATCCAGACACGGACGATATCTGGATCCATCACTATGAGTTTGAATGCGGACAGCGAGAGTGAAGCTTTGTGGTTACCGGGTCAGTCCTTTAGCATCGCTCTGTGAGGGAGGAAGAATCATATCCTCATTTAAGAGGAGAAGACTGAAGTGAGCGGGGCTAAATCAGTCAGCACAGGAGCTGGGGAAGTGGAATGTAAAACCGGGTGAAGCACATTCGCTTATGCTCCGGAGGGCTGAGTCCTGTAGCTCCAAACAGGTCCATCCAGCCAAACGATCACAACCAATAGCTCTTCCGGCCAGCATCGCAGAAGAATGTTTCCCTTCTTTTGGCCAATCGTGGGTTTCTGAAGATCTTCACAGTCTGGCATATTCCATTTAGTGCAAGATCCCAGGTGACCTGGGAAAATAAGATAATCCCGTCCCCAAACACCATCATCAAAAATACAGTCCCTTTACCTTCTCACAAGCAAATGCCACCATCGAGAAGAACTGTGTTAAGGGGAAATAAAAGAGATCACAAGGGGAATTTTCTTGAAAATGTCACAGGTTCACCAAGGCTTGACTTTATGATGCGAGCAGGAAAAAAAAAATGTGATTGTATGTACCTTCAAGTGGCTCCGAGAAAGAGGAGCTCTCGATAAATCAGAAAAAGTCTGTGTCAAACCCATCTAAGGATAATGTTTTCTAAAGATCTTAAAGGAAGGCCTCAATGAATGTCTGCCTTCTCAGGTTAACTACAGGAAAAGAATATAGGCTAGAGGCTGGCATGCTAATTGCAACACTTTATCCAAATTCTTTGCAACCTATCATCTGGAGTAAAATATTGAATATAGGCCACTCAGAGAAGTCTCTCTAGTGCAAGAGCAGCAGACAGAAGACTAAGCTTGCATTTCCCACCCTGAAGCCTGAAGAATGTCCCAGAACCTATCTTCCTTCCCGGAGCGGCAGAATCCTCGCAGGGAATATGAAAAGAGAGATTGACAAATAAGACACCCTGGGGTTGAGAGCAGCACTTTCATGGGTGACGTTTAAATTGTTGCCATGTGCTTGCCCTTGCTTGGGAGTCATCATCCTGATTGGTGGACTAGAATTTCCCCTGGCTAAATTAGCCTCTCTCTCTCTCCTGGATTTTCCCCAAGGAACACAATTTACCAGCAAAAAACTTTCCCTGCTGGCTTTTTATCTTTTAAAATATTCATCATAATATGCAAGAGCCGAGTACAAGACACACTCAGGCTCGATTCTTGGTCTGAGCTCTTAGCAGTCATCTGATCTGGTGAAAAGCTCATTTATCACATAGTCTCCAACATGTCCATTCATTTTAATGTCATTTTCCAAGTTCCAGTTTGGGAACAATAAAGTTCTCAACACCCATGAGGAAAGTATTTGGAGTTCAACAAACGTTAGTTAACTCTGTTACTTTTCAAATATTGGCAGGCTTCTTTTTAAGAAATGAAAAAAAAAATTACAGACAGGTACATTTAAAATATATTTGATATACAATATGGGAAAGGAGGAAGGTAACATTTTAATGCCTTCCTAGAGTCTTTCTTCTTATTTCCATGGAAAGGTGACAGATGGGCGGGTGCTTTATACGAGCCTACATTCTGTTGCCACAGTTGATTTTTGGGTTTCCTCTACTGGATTATACACTGCGTGAACGCAATGTGCTGTCATGCTTTAGAATCTTTCCAAATGAGAGACTCATGGTAGAGGAGCTATGTGAAAGTAGTAAGATGGCCAGCCCTCCTAGGAGCATCTGTATCTGCTTTGATTCAGAGACAGTCTTCAGGCCTGCAGCATTCAGACCAAATGGAGGTATAAATGGGCACCATGGAGAAATCAAACCTTCAAATTTTAAGTACAGTGCATGAGGATGAACCCCAGGTCAATTGCATAGATCAGATCTTTAGTAAGATCATAGAAACAAAGGAGAAAGGCAAACCTAAACAGACATAAGAAGTACATGTAACACCAAATAGACAAGACTAGAAAAAGAATCCCCACAGCATATCAGAGGTAAAACATTGAGTATATTAACAAGAAAGTGCATTGAAAGATGTAAGAGAGGAAAAAACCCCACAGGTGGCATTGTAAAGGAAAATCCATCCAAATAAAGCGGATTTATCAAGAGAAACTCAGAAAACCAGAAGAGCTAGGAGTGATGCATTCCAAGTCCCAAAAGACTATGACAACCAGCCTAGATTAATACATCCAGAAAAGTTCACCGTAATTGAAAAAGCAAGACCAACTTCCCACAATATAAACAGCATTAAAAAATTAAAATTCAACAAACCTAGAGAAAATACAGGAAGCAATATCTGGGGTTGAAGAGAAGACTGATCATAGTCAAGAGACTGTGGATAGAAATACAAATCCACTGAGAACACAAACAAAAATTAACAAAACGTTAACCGCATAATTATTGCACACATTTCAATAATATCGTTAAACATCAGTGGCCTCGTTCCTCCAATCAAAATTCACGGACTGACTGAATGGATCAGAAAATAAAATCCATCTATTGACTATCTACAAAAAATAAAACACATCTAAACTTCAAAGATAGACACCACCTTAAAGGGTGGATCAAAGTGCTCCAATAATCACCGAATGTGAAGAAGTCAAGCTGATGCCTAATTAGAGCCTTCACCCCTACCAACCAGTATTCATGGTCTAGAAGGAGCTCTGAGTGTTACCAGAACAGAAACGTAAACATCAACCTAACTACAAACCCTGTTATTTAAAATTGTCACCTGCCTGCATGAGATACTGGTACAATAGTGCCACAGACGGTTGTAGAAGTAACCTACCATGGATTTAAGGACCACTTCATAAGATGGAACCTATGCACAACTCTGCTCAGTTAACAGAGAACCTGATGTTAGACAGGCCATGGGCTTAGGGGGAAATCAAATATTGCTGTTCTGCTAAAGGAGCTTTGCTATTAAATGACTTTTAATGGCATTCCACTATAACCAGAAATCAGTGTCTCGCTCAGCCATCACCAGAGAAGATTCCTCTTGCAGTAGATGAGAATTAATACAAAAATCCACTACCAAAGAATGTGAGAAGAGGTGAGAGACTTTGGAACCATCAGTCCTAAATGGGATGTCTTCATCACATCCCATCCTTCAGGGCTCAGCTATGTGGAAGAGGCAGAAAAGGTTGCAAGAGCCAGAGGAGAAGAATGGCACAAAAGAAATAGTGTCTTCCAGATTCAACAGGACTAAGGCACATATGAGCTCACAGACTGTGGCAGCATGCATAGGACCTGGACAGGTCCAAGCCAGACAATGTCCTGACACCAAGCGGGAAAGTGATCTGAACAAAGAAATATCAGAATTAAAGGTATCTTATATCAAATGGACTTAACAGAGATCTACAGAAAATTCCACCCAAATAACAAAAACACACATGTGTGTATACGTTGATATACGGATATAACAACAATTAATAAAAAAGAGATCATAAATTTGAAAGAGAGCAAGAAGGGGCATACGTGAGGGTTTAGAAGGAGCAAAGAGGAAGGGAAAATATTTAATTGTAATATCAAAAAATAAAAGAAGTTTTTTTAGAGAAGATAGCCTGTACTCTCAGTTTTATGGTTAGTAAGTTGCTGTGAATAGATCTTCAGTCATACTTTTCACAAGAAAGGAACTTCAGGAGATGTGCACTTTAATTATTAAGTTATGACTATCAAGTGTTCATCCTTATCTTTACATTTATAGATGAAATAACTCAGGTTGGAGTACATAATAAAGAACATAGAGCCAGGTGTGATAACGGTGTGGCCCAATACTTTGTCAACCTGATGCAGACCAGGTTCATTTGGAAAGAGGGAATCTTATTAAGAAGATGCCTTCATCAAACTGTCTGGTGAGTGGGGGAACTTTTTCTTGATTAACGATTGATGCAAGAGGGCCCATCCCACTGTGGGCAGTGTTCCTGGTGAGTATAAGAAATATAACTGAATATGAACCTGGAAAACACGCCATGTTGTAGCTTCCATCCATGGTCCCTTGCTATGTCCCCCTTGGGTTCTTGGCCTGACTCCCTTCAGTGATTGACAAAGAAGTTCTTTTTTCTCCAATGTGGTTTTGATGAGTGTTTTATTAAAGCAACAGAAGCCTACATACAGGAGTGTGTGCCTCCATGCCCTGGTCAAGGTGAGACTGGAGAACGGCCAATTCCAAACCAGCCAAGGCTGTATATCATGACCTTGCATCGAACAAACACCATAGAAGATACTATTGTCCAAAAACAAGTGCATTTGGATCTGCAATGATTTGAGGATGGATATGAAGAAGAACCATTGTATTATTCAAGAGGGGGAATGACTATAGTGTATACTAAGATACTATATTACATTTAAATATGAAAATTAAATCATGGTTAAGTCATGACTCTAGTGCAATGACCTTGTGAGAAGTAAAAGCCAGACAGACATAAATGCAAAAGCCCACCTGCTCTGATAATCCCACTGCGCTTCTGGGTCTTCCTGAAACCGTCTGTGTTGATTAAGATGCTTTTTAATGAATCGAGGTTGAGGGTTATTGATCTATAAAAGTCTTTATGATTCAGCTGCTGTGGAACTGTCCACCTTCCCCCAGCCTCAGGGGGATGCTTTTCCAGCCGTGCCAAGTTGATTCTTGGAAATTTACATGCGGCTATCTGCTTCACAATAAATTCGTGTGTAAATCCCTTATGTGATACACAGGCCCGGCCTTTTATAATAACAAGCTGTAGATTTTAATGGTCAGTTTGTCTTTTTGCTTTATTTCTTCTGAAAACCAGCCCTAATCTCCACAGAGGTCACGCTAAAGAGAAGGTATTTTGTTCTCCATGAGCCCGACCCATTCTCTGGGTTTCAGATTTCATCCCACAATGCCTACTGCCTCACATTCTTTACCCGAAAAGACGTGTTTTCTATCACTTCTTCCTAGATAAACAAACATATTTTGAAGGGTGTCATTCAAGCCAATCTCCAAAGCTTGTTTGAAACCTGCTCCCTCTGCTGGGTTTGTCACTGACTCTGTGACACTGAGGAAGTTATAGTCTCCTCCCTGTTCCTCAGACACAAAATACAGGAACAAATAAAATAAAACTATTCTTTCTGTCTTAGTGTTCTGCTGTTGTTAAGAGACACCATGACCACAGCAATTCATATATACACACACACACACACACACACACACACACAGCATTTAGCAATTAATTGGGGATGGCAATTAATTAGAGTTTTCGACGTTTAGTCCATTATCAGCATATCGGGAAGCCTGGTAACGCCCAGGCAGACATGGTGCTAGAGAAGTAGCTGAGAGCGCTACATCCGGATGGTAGGCAGCAGGAAGAGAGAACCACTTGCTCAAGTCTGGGCTTTAGAAACCTTAAAGTCCACCCCCAGAGATATAATTTTTCCAACTAGGCCACACCTCCTAATGCTTTGGAACAGTGTTTTTCCCTGGTGACTAAGCATTTGAATATATGAGCCTTTGAGGGCCATTCTTATTCATACCACCACAAATCCCATAGGACTTCTGTGAGAGTAAGCTAAGTAAGAAATTCCTCCTCTGCCATCTTCTTTGTTTCTTGGGATTTTCATTTTGGAACAGGGTCTATGTAGCCCAGGCTAGTCTCATGGTGCCACTGCGTACCTGAATCTGGCCTTGAACCTCAGAACTTCTGCCTCCATCTCCCAAATACTGGAATTACAGGCATGAACCTACCACCCCAAACAATGAAAGTTCTTGTGGTCCATGCAGTACATAACTTCACAATAAGTGTGAGTGATTAGGATTAATGGCCTATGTAAAGATTAAAAATTTATGAGTTGGATATTTGAATACCAACTCCATGGCAAAATATAGTGGCAAGTGCTTTCAAATATTTTAATTTCAAATATTTTAATCAATTGAAAACTGTATAATGGCATTTAAATGGGGATCTTTCCCCCTGTCTCACTAATAAATAAATTGATATCCAGAGAGCTTATGTATTTGCCTGAGCATACACAGCCAGCAAGCAGCTAGCTTGTACTTGGCTTGAGAAACACAGGATGTGGAGGCTTTGAAGCAGACCTTCAAAGTTCTGGTCATGGATAGCTGGTATATTTACATTATTCTACAAATGTCTAGGGTTTTCAAACAATATTCCATAATAGTTAATGAATACCAGAGTCAGGTCTGGAGAGAAGGCCCAATGTTTATGTCACTTGCTGCAACCATCCATAACTTGTTCGGGGGATCCAATGCCCTCATCTGACCTCCTCAGGCACCAGGCACACATATGGTGCACATATATACAGTTAGGCAAATATTCATACACATAAATTAAATCAACATAGAAGCAGTTTCAAAAAAGGAATGACAGATTTTCTTACAAATGACAATCGTGAATGGTCTTACTCTAATTGTTGGGATGTTTTATTAAATGTGTGTGGTTCTGTGGTGTGGGAGAATTGTCTGTATTCTGTCAATCATATTTTAATAAAACACTGATTGGTCAGGCAGGCAGTATAGGCGGGAAAGCCAGACAGGAAGTAGGGGTGGAGCAAAAAGACTGGGAGTATTCTGGGAAGCAGGAAGCTCCCTCTGCCACTCCTGCGCAGACCACCGAAGAGACAGGATGTAACCTGCCCAGCTGAGAAAGGTACTGAGCCCTGTGGCTAATGTAGATAAGGATAATGGGGTAACAAAAGTTGTAAGAGCTAATAAGTAGACTGACCTAATGGGCCAATCAGCTTTATAACTTACAGAGATCTCTGTGTGATTGATTTTCTCTGGGATTTCCCGGCTGTGGGGTACTGGGTGGGACAGAAACCCCAGCAAGCCGACCCTCATGTTACAGTTCTGCTTGTAATGGGAACAGAATAAAGAAAGTAAATGAGCCCCTCTTCAGTCTGAGGGGCTCAGCTCTTCTGTATTGTGAGTTGAAAACCTAAATTTCTCCTTTTAGAAGAGATTCACCTAAACTACTCATACAGCTTAGATAATCACACCTCTAGTTCCTTATGTCTCCACCCTGTATACACTGCCTGGAGTTTTCATAACTTTCAATAATTTAACAATGTGTTTACTCATTGGCTGAAGTAATGGCAATGCTTACTTGTGGGTTATCAAGACAACATGAAATGGGGATAGATAGGTGATATAGATAGATACATGGATAGATGATTGGTAGGTAGGTAGGTACATAAATACATAGACAATACATAGATACATAGATATACAATTGATAGATGATAGATACATAAATACATAGACAAAACATAGATATATGATTGATACATAAATACATAGATACATAGATCATTGATAGATACATACATACATAGGTACAAAGATAGAGGATAGATAGAGAGATACACAGATAGATACATAGATACATAGGTATATAGATACATAGACGTAGCATGAATTCTAGTTGGTCTCAGTAAATAAAACCAGAGTCAGATATTAGGGGGTAAAAGCTGAAGGATCAGAGAAGACAGAGGCCTTTTACCCCTATCAATGCTCAGACCAAACGGGCAATCCTGTCCTTAGATTGTCTCCTCAGACCGCAGGGACAATCCTGAGACTGCACTAAGCTCTTGTCCTTCTCCCGCCTTATAATCCTTTCTCTGCCCAGCCATATCATATTTATCTCCCCCTCCCTGGACTAAAGGTAAGAAATCCCAAGTGCTGGGGTCACCTTTGTGTGAGCTCTGTTTCTCTTTTATACAGATTTAATCTCGTGTAACCCAGGGAGGCCTTGAATTCACAGAGATCCTCTGCCTCTGTCTCCCGAGCCCTGTTTGAGGTGTGTGTCACCACTGCCTAGCCTCTAGTGGCTTAGTTCTGCACTCTGATCTTCAGGCAAGCTTTATTTGTTAAAAACACAAACAAAATATCACTACCCATGGATATATAGATCATTGGCAGATACATATATACTTAAGTACATAGATGATAGATAGATAGATAGATAGATAGATAGATAGATAGATAGATAGATAGATAGATAGACAGATAGATAAGTAGGTAGATAGATAGATAGATAGATAGATAGATAGATAGATAGATAGATAGATGAGATTTAACTAGTACCTAACTCATGGTCCAGCTCTCTATCACCAATTCCAACTGTTCTTTTTTCACTGTTGTTACAGTTTCAAACTTTTGAGTTAAACTAAATAGCTCTCTCCACTTAACTGAAATTATGAAAATTGCCAAAGAGAGTAATGTTAAGAAAGCATCACTACTAGGAACTAGCAGCTACACTTCGTGGCTAGACCATCTGCTTAGCATTCGTGAGGTTCTGAATTCAAGCCTTCAAAACCCCAAGGGTGTAAGCAATGTTAGGAGAACCATGAAAAAAAAAAAAAAAGAAATCAGGACGGACTAGGTTGGGTCACTACAGATGGAAGCTCACAACTCTGTTGGAAGTCAAGATAATACAAGTACTTTGTATTTCATCTCCCAAATAAGAGAAGAATAGCGGAAGGAGACTGGCGATCTGGATCCGAATATAATAAATGAGGAATAATGGGTTGGTGACACTGACTTCACTTTTTAAGCTATGAACAAAGGATTTAATAACTAAGAAGAAAATGGAGGCCTAAAGTCATAAGCAGTCTGGACATTGAGATCCCAACACAGACCACGTTGCTTAGACTTGCACTACTGGGACCAGGCTGGTTCCCTGGCGTTGCTCTTAACCCCTTTAACTAGAATGGTCCAGGATGGACTGGGGACCAGCAGGCAGGTCCAAACCAAATCGTGAAGCAAGTTGGTTGTAGAAAAGATCGTGTTTATGACATGAAACTAAATTGAGAAAAGAACTGATTTCCTCAGACAAGATTGAGGAAAACATAACCCTACTAAAGAGATGGAAGAAGCCATAGCTTCACCAGAGAGTGGACTAGAAGGAATAAGGATCCTGGTGCAAGAAGACACTCGAAGGCATTAATTATCTTAGCTTCTTTTCATGCTGCGGAGACAAAAATACCTCGACAAAAGCCACTCAGGGGATAAATGGTTTATCTTGTTTCAAAGTCGGGGGCTAGGAAGTCGAGGCAGTGGGAGCTTGAAAGAGCTGTTCGTCTCGTCCATGGTCAAGAACCGGAGAGCAATGAGAGCTTCCTATCCCGTGGTCAGTTCCCTGTTCCGTTTCACGATCCACTCGAAGGGAGCAGAGCGGCTCACAGTCGAGTCTCCGCTTATCAGTTAACATGATCAAGATAATTCCCCAAAGACACGTATGGAGGACCATGTCCCAGGGGATTCTAGATTCTTCTGTCAAGTTGGCACCACTAACCGTCATGCTCACACGCGCGTGTAGCGGATCACACGAAGTGCCTGCACTGGGTCATGTGAAGTGCTGTAGTGAGCCATGTTTCTTTCTAGCAACATACAACAACACAGAACTGCTTCTAGACACAACCTAATACTGCATTAATATAATCAAAACAGAAGGACAGTGTTCTAAATCTGTGGGTAACATATTCTCACAAGAGTAGTGAACCTTGGGGCCCAGGGACACATAGGAATCCAGTGTAGACCTGCTCATCTAGAGAGAAGCTAGCTAAGAGAATGGCACAGCACTTCATATACTTAAAGCTTTCAAGTAATTAAAAAAAATCATAATTTTCAAGGTAATGATAATAAACTAAAATTTATGAGTATATCTTATTTAACCCAATAGACTAAAGATATTGGCAGTTTAA